ATTGAAATTGAGATATCAGCCTCTTCCGACCAGGATGAACTGGAGTGTTTTTCACACAAAAAGGCAGGTCAGGACGCTCTGTAGCAGCCCTAGTCAATTTTCGACTATGGCTATGTCGCATCTTTCACCGTGTAATTTGTCTCAAGCTTGACAATTTTGCAGGTCATAAGAATTATCCCAGCAGTGTAGAGTGCAATGCCTCAGTATGCGACTGATCAGTCTCAAAATACTATCCAGACCTGGCCAAACATCCCCAGGAACCCTCAATCCACCAGCCCCAGGACCCAAAACACCTCATCCCGAATCACCTCCGGTGCAACCAACTGCAAATTATGCGTCCTCGCCTTCCCTGTCGCATACACAAACCGGCTCCGACTCGACAGCGACAGATGAGCCCGTTGCCCTCGCTCATCCATCTCCTCCATGACCGCCAGCCGCTCCGCCAGCCGCCGTCTCGCCTCCTCCGAGCCATGCCCATGCTCCACCCCATAAGCATAAACCTTCCCAAAATCCACCGACTCATTCGCAAAAATCACACTCAACCTTCCATCCCCAAGCGCCTGCACCCCCTCGGGAATCGCCTCATTCAACTCCTTGGTACTCGCCGCAATGAGCGCCAACTCCGCCTCCGCCGTCGCCCGATTCCTCACCTCATCCTCCTTAATCGCCCGATACTCCTCCGGCGCCACCGCCACGTTCTCATCCAGCCCCACGATGGCATAGTAATCGGAATCCCCCATCAGACTCGGCCAATCCGCAGGCAGGGGGGTTTGCGCCCGCGGCGAATCGACAATCACCATCCCGACGACGACGTCGGGGCCGCGTTGGCGCAGGAACTCGCGGACCAGGACCCCGCCGTAGGAGTGGCCGATCAACACGTACGGCGGCGGGATCTGCGCCGCGTCGAGCAGCTGGGTCAGCTCGCAGACGCGGTTGTGCGCGGTCGGCGGCAGCAGCAGCAGCGGGGAGGGCAGTTCGCTGCTACGCCCGTAGCCGGCTCGGTCGTAGGTGTAGACGCGCGCCCGGGCGGCGATCAGGCGCTGCACCGCGACCCATTCGACGTGCGAGCTGCCGAGGCCGGCTTCGATGATCACGGCCGGGGGGAGGCTGCCATTGCGCTTCTGGCGTTCCGGGCCCGCGGCGGAGAGGAAGAGGGAGGGCCCGGGTTCGGGTAGTGGGACGAGGGCGGAGTGCGTGCCTTTGTTCCAGGAGGTGGTCATTGTAGCTGAAATGATATTGAGTGGGAGGGCTGTGATGACCAGTCTCCAGTGTGTAGCTTGGGGGATGAGCGCGAGAAGCTTGAGAAGGAAGAGGAAGGGATGGGGGTGCTACTGGAATTAAGTCTAGTTGCTCGTGCTTATCATACTAGCGGCTTATGGCAATGCTTATTCGTGCAATTGACTGTAGCCTGGTTCCTGGCATGTTAACTAAACAGGAACTAGATGGTTAGTGAAGTATGCCGTAGTATACTACAAGTACTGCGCTAGTCAGTCAGCTCACGGGCTGTATACTGTTGGTATAGGAGGTGTAATGGATATACAATGTAGACTCAGGTGTAGTAAGATGCAATACACCGCTAATTCTTCGCAGTGGCACAATCTATTTTCATACATTCTACTGCAAGACTTTACCAAAGCTAAGGGTCTACTGAGCGTACAAATGATAGGGAATAGCCCATAGCAACAGTCTATCGTGTTTCTAATCTCCAGTAACTAAACAATAGGTACCTCGCTGTTGTGGTATCCGTCGTCAGCACAGTCTATAGTTATATTCACCCCGCTGATGTTATTGCCCTTATTGCCCCCAATGCTCGCCCCTCAAACCTCCCCACGAGCTTTCTCTTCCAGCACACTGCCCCTACTCCCACTCAACGCCTCCGAATCAGCCTCCGACTCCTCCTTGCCACCAGTATTTCCCTGGCTCCCAATCCTCAAAAACGCACACAACGGAATCCCCAACGACGCGATCCCCGCACAGTACAAAAACGTCGCACTATAGGGCTCAATCGGATCGCCCCTGAAGTAACCCCCGGTGGCCGTGCCCCTCGCGACAACCGCATCATAAATGGCCGTACTGATCCCCATCCCGATCGTCACACACAACTTGGTGACAGTCTGAAAGATCCCGCCCGCGATACTCTGCTGCGCGGGGGGCAGCGAGCTCATGACGTACATGTTGGCGACGCAGAACTCGAAATCCGCACCCACGACCGCCAGCACCAAACCCGGAAAGATGAACGCCCAGTAGCTGCTGTCCGAGTGCTGGAGGCCCATGAGCAAGAACGAGCCGACGTAGGCGGTGGCGCCGACGGCCATCAGCAGGCTGTTGGAGACGCGGTGCATGATGAGGCCGGCGATGATGTTGACGATGATCCCGCCGATGGCCATGGGCAGCATGTGCACGGCGACCATGAGCGGCGAGTAGCCCTTGATGCGCTGCATGAACAGCGAGACCCAGAAGGACATGATCGGGAACGCCAGGAAGCCCAGAAGCAGGATGGCGATCACCAGCGAGAAGTCGCGGTCGCGCCAGATGTTCATCGGCACCAGCGGGTAGGCGTACCAGTTCTCCCAGAAGACGAAGGCGATCATGAACAGGGCGCCCAGGACGAGGAGGACGAGGACGTAGGGGGTCTTCCAGCCTTGCGGGGCGTCGGAGCCCAGACTTTTGGTTGTTGGTTAGTATACGAAACAGTAAAGACGATGAGACGGAAGAAGGGAACTCACCTCAGGGCACCGGAGAACATCCCGATCCCCGCGATCGTAAGCAGCGTGCCCACGATGTCGAATTTCTTGATCGCCTGCACGGAAATCTCCGTCTTGGGCGAGTGGTCGACCGGCACGCTGAAGACGGCCACGACCACCACCACCACGTAGATGATGGCCAGCAGGAAGTAGCTGGCGCGCCAGTTGAAGAGCTGCGTCGCGATCCCCGAGAATACGCTTCCAAACACAAAGCCCATCGGGTTGCCCGCGCTGAAGCACGCGAACACGCGGTTCTTCCGCTTGGACGGCCGTTGGTAGATGTTGGCCAGCATCCCTTGACCCGGCGGCACCGAGGCCGCCGACATCAGGCCCATCACCCCGTTGAGGATGTCCAGCTGCAGCGGCGTCTTGCTGAACCCAGCCGCCAGGGAAAAGACGGCGAATAGGACCATACTCCCTAGAAAGAGGGACTTGCGACCAAAGAGATCCGCCAGGCGGCCGAAGAAAAGCAGGAAGGATCCGGCGGCCAATCTGGAGGGCAGGGTTAGCGTATGACACTAGGGCTAGTGGTCCTTGGGGGATGGGTGCGTACGATGAGGAACCGCTGAGCCAGGTCAATTCCGCCGTGGTCATGTTCAGATCATTCTGGACTTCGGCGGTTATCACGGTGACGGCTCCGCTGACGAGCGAGGACATGGCGATCGCCATGGTCGCCACGGCGACAAACATGATTTCCTGGACAGTGGACGAGAAGACTTCAGGGCGGGCTTCATCGTCGACCGGGCTGGTCGCAGCTATAGCGGTGGTCAACCCGTCGGATTTCTCCGACGGTAGACTACCCTCAGTCGGCCGCTCCATGTCGTCTCGGGGCATCACTAGAGAGTACCGAGGGGTGGGGTTGAAGGGAAGGGAAGAGCGGGTAAATGATCTTGATCTCAACCTCGAGCCATGGGGAGTATAAATGCCGGGTGGGCAATGGAAGTATCACCGCCGTTTGGGAGAGAACTTGCCAGAGAGGAAACTGCATGATTACGCGATGGCGCGGCGAAATTTCCGCAGCGGCGATGAGTGCAAATTTGGGGTTATTCTCGATCGGTCTTAGGGTTGGTCTTGGCCCTCTGTCTCTACGCAGTTTGAACTGCAGTTTTCACTCCGTTCCGAAGTCTGACCACGCCTCCTTTGATTGCGCTGACTCACAATCCACAGGATCAATGTGTAGTTACTAGTCAAATGATCTGATAACAAATCCTCAACCTATGCCACTCGAATTCTGCCTACAGTATCCAGTTGGCCTCAACAATTCACCGCCAGTAACTTCCTGCAACTGTTCGGCTCGAGCCGCAGCTCGGGATCTGAGTTCCGAATGCGGTAACATTGACACTTTCTCTGCAGTGTTCAATTGACTCCGTCCTGCTTTATTGCTTACCTATTGAACTGCTGGCTGCATAGATTCGCTTTCCAAATCAACAAGTGGCCGCTCATATGCGCATTCTTACGTGTCCATCAGTTGTTGCCCTCAACCTGAATCATCTCTTCCATTGTCCTTCGGTTCGGAAACAACCCGGGTCTGGATTCTTCTTCGGGTGGAGACTGCCTCTCCACTGTTCCGGGCTTTAATTCAGCTACAATTCTTCCCACAGTGTGCAGGTATCATTTTTCTTACCATGATGTTGAAGCGATCGGCCTTTTCGCAAGATGTCGAAGATATCATTTTCCACCAGGTTATGTGAGAAGTGAGCAGAAAAGGCACTACCTGATCTTCAGCGGCCGGCTGGTATGCTCTTAAGAGCATTACGGTGAAGTTACGTCATCCGAGGTCTCGTGGCGCAATGGTAGCGCATTAGTTTCCGGTACTAGAGGTTGTGCGTTCGAGTCGCACCGGGATCGTTTTTTGTTTTTCCCCCTTCTGCCCAGTTCAAGGTCTGTCACCGCACTTGTTGCATACATCTTGTTCCTTTTTTCTTTCTTTTTTTTTTTCCTCTCTCTTTTTTCCTTTTCTGTTTGCACCTTGCATTGTTCACTCAACGATACCGTGCGGACTATACACCCTGCATATGAAATCCTCGATGTAGGAGCCGAATCCGATTTGGCAGTCTCGAGACTTGCTGTGGAGAGTGAGAAACATATTTCGGCTCATGATGTTAGTACTTGACCAGTCTTTTACGGAAGATGAAGGTGACAAAACAGAAAACGGCCTCGCTTCCCATTCAATACTCTCGATAATCAATTCCAAACCATAATACAACACAGACTGCCCAAACATGCTGAGAATCTCCTTACGCCAGCCAACCCCCCTCAACCGCTTTCAAAAACATCAACCACATTCCCTCTAAACTCAAGATTATGGATCTTGTCGTTCCGAAACCCACGATCCAAATGCCGCCGGCAGATCGCCTCCACGTGCTCCTCGTTCCTGAGCTGGATCTGGTTCGTAGAAGATGATACCTCAGGAGAATCGCGTCTTGCTTGTTCTGCTTTTGATGAGCCTGGTCCCCTTTCCCGGGTCGCATCCAATGCATCGGCGGGGAGCTCTTCCTCGCGACTGCTGTTCTGCCTGTGTGCCTTCACGCTCTTCACACCGTACGCGACGCTATTGACCACCAACGCGGTACCTAGCAAGCAGCCCGTTAGCAAAACACACCAGCCCAGGACGATTCAAAGGGAAATGGGACGAACTGGTAAAAGGAAGCAGAGCGATGTTCCCGAAGAACCGAGCGGTCCCGACCCCGACGTCCTTCGCGAGGTTGGGTCGGCCCTTGCCGTGGGGGTTATCGCCGCCGTCGGGCATGGAATCCTGTGGCACCACAGAAAATCAATTTAGACGGCAATATCGAGATGGAATGTTTGCGTCGTGGCGTGATACCTTCTTCCGCAGCCCGGGGACCTTGCTCACCAGGTCCGAGGCACTGACGATATCCTTTGCGGCGTGGGAGATTCCCCCCCAGTAATCCTTGGTCGGACGTTCGGAGGCGGGTTGCGTGGATGGGATGTTATATGGGCACCGCGTGATCCTGCATTCGGGTCAGGGGGGCCATCTCATGGCGGTTCAGGTTACGGATGTGGGAGAGGCCTACAGCACGAGATCCGTAAGCTTGATGCGTTGCTCCTGCAGCAGGACGGCTGCTGCCTCCGGGGAGATGGTCTGCGACGGTCGGTTCCAGATCTGGTACATGGCCAGGTCCTGCTTGGTCATGCTGCAGGGTTGGACCTGCGGAGGCAGCCAGCGGTAGAAGGACTTGATGGCGCTGGCGGCCCCGGCCTCGTCGAGGAGTTGTCGTTGGATGGCTCGGGTGGTCTGTTGGACGTCGGTGCGGAGGCAGAAGCCGATCGCCTGGGCGAGGGTCTCGGAGGTGAGCTCGTTGGCGCGTAGGGGCGAGGCGGCGGCGCCGATTTTCGCGAGAGTCTGGCCGGTTGAAAGGTGGCTGGATGAGTTAGTATCTAGGAGTTTCGTGATAAGAGCCCGGGGAGTGTTACTCATCGGTCTGTGCGATGACCACGCTTGGTTTGCCCTGCCGTAAAGCCGTTTTCGTGGTGTCTATGCTCCCGTTGTGGACGACCAGAGATGCTCTGGGGAGTAGCCAGTCTGTTTGGAAAAGTGAGTGATGCTGACACCACATCAAGATAGAGACGTGGAACCTACCGTTGGCGCTGGAGCTGACAACGTAAACGTTGGGCTTGTCCAGCTTCGCACAGACGTGCCGGCACTCTTCAGAGACAACAATCCGAAGCCCACGATTTAGTATACTCTCCTGGATGACTGTCACCAGCAAATCCGAGTCCACGATGCTAGGGTCTCTCATCATGAGATAAATCGGTGCTGCGCCCGACGAGATGAAGTTGTCAAGATCCTTCGGTGGGCGGTCGAACTCTTCGGTTTCGTGGAAAATATAGCCGGACATCTCTGCAGGGACGTCAACCAGTTAATTCACTCTCGTAATGGTCAGAGAGCGTATTCGCTCACCATGATTGATCGCCCAGTCCCTCGGCTTCGGAACCAGAACCCTCGAGCAGAAGTACGTGTGTGGAATCTCGTGGTCCATTATCAGCCTTCCCGCCACAGTTGGGGAAATGCTCATCAACCCGAGAACCTGTCGTCGGAATATGTTGAGGGGCTCCAAGATTCTGGTATCCTGATGTTAGTCTTCTTTTCTCACTGAACAAGAATCGCTGGACTCACAAACGCCACGTCGACTCCTCAATTAACGCATAAGACAACATATTGGCAGTCGGCTGATCGATCTCCTCGTTGGGATCCAGACGCGCTCCAGGATGCGGGAAGGCTTTGGTAGGGCTCTGCGGTGTCGCGGACATGATCTGCAGCGGGATCGATAGACGTTCCGCGCAGTGGATGTGGGCATGCGCCGTTGGGGTGGCGATGATCGCGTCCGCCATGAAGGGCCGGGCGTCGTCCCGGTATGGCGCAATGCAGGCTTGCCAGCATCGTTTGTATGCTTCGAAGAGGGAATGGCGGAGGTTGCGGACATGGTTCGCTCGGTCATCGGCTGAGTTGAGAGCCTGACCATTGGTTGTCCTGGAACTCTATACAGAGAGTCAGTCTTACTTTCATAATCCGAGAAGGAACACCTACTCGTGAGGATGAGGTGATCGGAGGGATGGCGAAGAAGTCCAGTCCGTGATTTCGTACCCGCGATGCGTATGAGACATCTGCAGCGATCCGGACCCGGTGGGAATCTTGCTGGAGTTGTTTTGTGATGCTTATGAAGGGGTCAATGGATTCTGTCCAGAAGTTTAGCATTGAGATGAGCAATGACAGGACACCCGGCGACATTACCATCGACGACCATCACCACGATGTCCAGTGGTGGCGGGTTAGGGCTTTCCGGTTGGGGTTCACCACATGAAGGAACGCTGCTGCTACTCCCTCCAGACTCGCTGCGATTTAACCCTACACTCACCAATCGAGCCTGCGTGCTCGGCCGCATGAACGCCTGGATGAAAGCAGACGTGCGCGACGTGATGTCCGCTTTGATACTAAACTTGCTATCTTCTGATTGCAATCGTTAAACAAGCAAGAGCAGGTGGCGGCCGATCAACTCACTTTCCGGCGCAAAGCAGTAGTCCAGCTCCCGTGAATCGTTGGTAAACTCAGGGGAAAAGTCCGGCTCGATGGTCCAGAGGGACGCTTCTGAGGACGCGACTGAAGCACGCGCGGGCGAATATGCAGGCGGTGGATCCGAGTAGTCATCAACGATGCGGATTTGTTCGATGTTCAAAGATTCTTTGGAATCCATGTTGCAGCGTCTCAGGAGAGATGTAAGTGTAAGGGTTGTTGACAGTGGAAGGATCGTTGGAAGAATTATATTCACAATCAAGCAATCTAAGTTAGGCTACCATGCTTTTGTCTTTTAGTCTTTTCAGTTCAATAATAGAACTATATTAACCAATTAAAGTGTCATTGATTTAGCTTTTTCCGATACACCGCGCATCGATTGCGGCAGGTGCCCTCAGCCGGACGCATGGCGGTTCCAGAACGTGGCTCGATAGTGGAGCAAGACGAGACCCCAACACATTGCTAGAAACCACTTTAAAGCCAATTGAGTCGTCAGGTAAGGGACAGAAAGGTTGAAACAAAAGTTTGAACATGGCGATCAAGCGGGTCAAGACGCCCGCCATGCTCGGGTTCGTACTCGGGTTCGGATCTAAGCTCAGAACGGTTTTTGCGAAATGACCCACAGGCTCGGATTGTCCGCCAGGGACTATGAATCTGTGTACGTACGTGAAGAACTTGCATGTTGAATCTATACGAACCCGATGAGCGGAGGCAAAATGTGACTGCCTAGATCCTGACTGAAGTCGAGATTCTATCCATGGAAAACACAGCCAAACGCTCGTCGGCGACATGCATTAAGCTATAAATATTTAACTGTACTTGGGACCTTATTGTAGGGACACAAAAGTGCATCGACTTCTGGATAACTAAAAACCATATTATACACCTCAATTCTTTGCATACAACGCCCAGACTTGGATTGATACCGATTCACCATGTTAGCCGCAAGATCCGAATCCACATTCGTGCTCTACGAGTACGACCCCAGCCTGCCGGCCGCAGTCATCTTCGCTGTGCTGTTCTTCTTGACCACGGCAGTCCATCTCTTCCAGCGGGTGCAAACCCACGCGAAGTACTTCAACCCGTTCATTGTCGGAGGAATCTGTAAGTAGTTAGAACGATCTCTCAGGCAGATCATCAATCTTACTGAGCAATCTCCAGTCCAGATAATCGGCTATATCGCCCGCGCGGCAGCACACTTCCACCAGACATCGACCACACTCTACGCCATCCAGACCCTCCTGCTTCTCCTCGCACCAACTCTCTACGCCGCCTCGATCTACATGGTCCTGGCCCGGATCATCACCTTCGTCAACGCAGCCGACCTGAGCATCATCCCCGTAAAATGGCTGACCAAGGTCTTCGTGTCGGGGGATGTCCTATCCTTCCTTCTCCAAGCAGCAGGCACGTAGCCTCTCCCTCCCCTCTATCCTGTCCCCAGTATTCTAACACCGGAGACAAAACAGGCGGCGGAATCATGTCCGGCGGCTCCGCGAGCGGCATGAAGATCGGGCAATGGGTCATCGTCGGCGGTCTCTGCGTGCAGCTAATCTTCTTCGGCGCCTTCCTGCTCGCCTCCCTCACCTTCCACCGGCGCATCGCCAGCCACCCGACCGCGCAGTCGGACAAGGCCACGGATCGCGGGAGCGGCAGCTGCTGGCCGCGGGACTGGCGGGGTCTGCTGTTCGCGTGCTACCTCGTCAGCGGGCTCATCCTGGTACGGTCGGTGTACCGGCTGATCGAGTTTGCGCAGGGCAACAGCGGGTACGTCATCAGCCACGAGGCGTTCCTGTATGTGCTGGATGCGACGATGATGTTTCTGGTGATGGTGGTGATGAACCTGTTTCATCCGTCGGTGGTGCTGCAGAGCGAGGTGCGCCATCATCGGGTGGGGTCGGAGGAGGTCGGGCTGCAGCTTGAGCGGCGGGGGTCGCCTGCGTCGGTATAAATGTGGAGTCCTGGTCGGGGTTTCTCTGAGGTTTCCTTCTTACATGCATATTGCAACTTTTGTTTCGGTGATTTCTGTGTGGCTTTTCTGATTGATAGACTGTTTTGAATCCTGAATTGTGAATGCTGTTTATTTTACTCTGCCGAGTTATTGCTTGATCACTACCTAGAAAGCTTACTTCAATGGAGTTCTTCCAGAATTGTATCATCCAAGTCTCTCTTATTGCCGAAAGGTGGTTGCCATTGTTTCTTGGATTGTACAGGGATAGTGAATGGGTATGCGGATTTCATGCCAAGCCTTGGAAACGTTGAATGTCCGTAGACACGCATTATTTAGATCCGTCTGTACTTCAGAAGACAAGATAAAATGATTAAGAGATCCCGCATCAGGCCACTCAGAAGCTCCTTTCTACTGAATTCACCCTAGTAATAGAGCCCTTCCAAGTTAACTATGCTAAGCAACAAGTTTAGCATTCAGATTGCAACCCAGTGAAATGATCCAGATCCTACCGGAACATTAGGAACTGTATAAGAGAAAAATCAGATCAAGAGTCTAAGAACTCGAAACTCCGGTCAGGTTTAATTATCTTGATCAAATAGTTGAGGCATGTCTTCTACATTTTGACTTCCTTCAATCACTAAAAGGTCTTGGCAAAGAAACGCTAGGTTGGGCGGAAGGATCTGTGGCCAATCAAACTTAAGGTTGAGTGGACCCGGCATTGCGTCTGCCGTGTTTGGCGTGTTTGCACCCGGCAGGACGAGATTAGCGTGCGCCAAGAATAGCTCAGCATCCAGGCTTCCACCATAACAACCTCATCTAAAGAGGCTTGTATTCACGCCAGAAGAATTTGGATGCCTGGGACATCTCTGGATCTACTGTAGTAGTAGCATACATAGTTCAAAAAGGTCTCCGAGTAGGCAGCCATAGTAGTGAAACCGCGCAGCAGACGACTCGGACGAAAAGTCTGGGCAAAAGAAGAAAAGGGTCCACTTGACCCAGGGACAAGAAAACGAACTTTGATCCATCGCCTCAACGTTAAAACTTGCATGATCAGGCGAAACATCTGGGCTGCGATGACAACCAAGACATCTCGCCCTGTTACGTGATTTGGCTCCTCCAGAGTGCGGTGGTGCCCAGTAATCTCCAATTGAGAATTGTTCAACCCGGTGAAAACGGGTCTGGAGCAATCAAGGTTATCTTATCGCCGGCACTGATTTGCGCGGGGCTTCTCCAACAAACAGAAAATGTCGGCCAGCTCCACAGCCCGAGGACGCCGGACTCATCGCAAGTCACGTAACGGGTGCCAGCAATGTAAGCACCGGAAAGTCAAGGTGGGATGCTTCATACCTCTTCCCTCGCAACGGTATCACCGGAGCAGTATGCTGACACGAACGACAGTGTGGCGAGGAAAAGCCGACGTGCGACAACTGCATGCGCCATGGCGTACGGTGTTCCTTTGCGGTCTCGACGCGAATGGCCGAAACCGCTTCCTCATTGACCGAAGCCACCTCCGCATCGAGTCGCAACTCGACGCCCAACTCCAGCGGCAGACGGAGTCCACCCGTCGGATCCCCCGATGACACCGCAACCAGCCGCCTACCCCAGCCACCCTCCTCAACCGGCACCTCAGACCTCGCCATCGCCGACCTCGAGCTCCTCCACCACTACACCACCTCGACCGCGTACACCTTCTCCGCCAACCCGACCGTGCAGACGCTGTGGCGCGTCGAAGTCCCCAAGGTCGGCTTCACCGCCCCGTACACCCTGCGGGCGATCCTCGCGCTCTCCGCCCTACACCTGGCGAGCCTCCGCCCCGGACAACACAAAGACCACTACCTCGGCCTGGCCAGCACGCACCACGACGCGGCCCTGCGTCTGGCCACCCCGGCCATCGCCCAGCTGACCCCGACCAACGCGACGCCGCTCTTCCTCTTCTCGGCGCTCTCCTCCTTCATCTGCTGCGCCAAGCCGCTCAAACTCGGCAACTTCCTGCTGTGGGAAGGCCACGAAATCGCCAACTGGCTCCTCCTCATCAAAGGGACAGGCACGATCGTCGCCGTCGCCGAGGACACCCTCAAGAACGGACCCCTCAGTCTGCTCTTCAGCGTGCACCGCCGACCGGGCGCCCACGATTTCGACGACGCGGCCGCCACGCAGCACGCCTTCCTCGAAGACCTGCGGCGGTTTATCCTCTCCGAGCCCCACGATGACCCCCACGCCAAGGCCATCTACTCCGAGGCCATCGACCACATGAGCCACTGCTTCACCCTGTGTCTTGAGAAGGGGTGGCGGCTGGAGACGGCGGACGTGTTCATGTGGCTGCTGCGCGTGCCGCATGATTTCTTGCTCGCGCTGAAAGAATACCAGCCGCCGGCGATGGTGATCGTCGGGTATTTCTGTGTGCTGATGCACCAGCTCGAGTGGATCTGGTGCATGCGCGGCTGGGGCACGCACATCCTCTCCCAGATCTATGAGCAGGTGCCTGGTCCCGTGTACCGGGCGTGGTTGCAGTGGCCGATGGAGCAGATTGGGGTGTTGTCGGGGAGGTGAGGGTGGTGTTCTGGTGGGTGGTGGAACGTGATAGATAGGGCTGGTCCGGGCTCGTGACTTGACTTTGATGCCGACCGAGCAACTTATAAAGGTTCCCCGTGCCGGGGTGCATCACACATTGACAGCGTTAAGGCATTTTCATCTTCTTCTCCCGAGCGTGAGCATCCTCCCGTACATTGAAGATGGGACCTATTTCGGAATGATGAATAATAATAATATTATTATACATGCATTATCTGGAGGGACGCCTACCACCCTCTGGGTCTAGCCCTGGCCACTAAAGAAAATCATACCTCCATACAGAGGCCGGGACCAAGACCTATGTATACAGCTCGCGTCGAACCAATGGCTCCGTGCTGGCCTGGCTCGACACGCGCGTCCGGCGCTCGGACTGGGTGTCCGTGTCCGTCTCGGTGGAGTCGGCCATGATCTGTGTATCGGTGAGGACGGGAGGCCGGGGACGGTGCCGAGACGGGTGCGGTGGCATCCTGCACTCGGGATCCGAGGGGGCTCGCGGCTTGCGTCGCCGCAGAGTGTACATGGTCGGGAGATTGGCGGCCAGCGCCGAGAGGAGCACCTCGAAGAGGGTAATGATGATATTGATGCTGGGATTGGTGGTGGTGAAGAAGGCGCGCGAGAGACTCGCCGCGGCCACTAGAATGCCGATGGAGAAGAGTCCGATCAGAAGGAGGCGTCTGTATTCGGGGTCAGACTGAGGACTGAGAGTGGGATATGGAGACAATGAACGCACTGGCGCCAGGGTCGGTGGACCTGGACTACCCAGGGGATCGGGAGTATGATGAGGATCACGTCGCTGGAGGTGTTTTGCACAACATAGGAGTATAATGATCCTTTGGCGTTGAAACAATGCACTGCGTTCGAATTCGTTGTTAGGATCTAGCCCTGTGGGGAAGAAGGGGAGGGTCGAAGGTAGGCAATCTATCTTCTACACTCACCCGGCGGGTGTCCCGTCAGGAGGATATTATGCACTGGCCCGACGCAGGACACGCTCCAGCCGACGACCGCAAAGGCAAAGGTCAGCGTGAGCCAGCCCCAGGCCACGAGAATCCAGATGCGAGGCCACGGAAGACCACCCCAGACACGTTGGATGAAGAGAAGCACGACTGCTTTCTGACCCCAGAAACTAAAGGCGGGCACACAGGTCAGAGGGGTATATCTAGAAGGTGCTTGTGGGAGAAGGCATACTAGATGAAATACCCGTATGTATACCCGACATACACATGCGTGATTCTTCTGGCGATGGCAAGGTCATGAGGGGTTGGCCCGCCCGGCTTCTTAAGTACCCCCGACACATTGAACTGTCCAACCACCGAGACCATGGTCGTAGTCACCAGGAGAGAGAAAATGCACAGCATGGTCACGTAGTCACTAATGTCGAAGGGCTGACCTCGATGCTTGCGCAGCCACAGCCGAGTACCCATTACCGCTCCCGCCATCGCGGCGACGACGCACTGCAAAATGACGGAGAGGGGGGGACCAAGAGTGAAGACCATTGTTGTGTTGCCATTAAATTAAAAAGAGAGAGGCCACATGCTGCTGGAAGAGTGAGGTTACAAGTGAAGCTTTGAAGCAACATTGGGGAGTGTGCGATGGACAGGGATCCTATGAAAATATCATATATACTAGTCCCAGTGAATATGATCTGCGCAGTTTCGGTGGGAACTGTGCTCAACCCGATCTTATGGCTACAGTAGTAAGTACTGTACAGTACTTAAGGAATTCGGTGCAAGCGGGTTCACCGAAGCTCCGACAACTTCAGTTCCAGGCCATAGCTCCTTCAGTGCCAAACAAAGAATCTAAGATCATGAGCTCGCGAGCTCGAGCCTTTCCTTCCTTCGCTCGCTCAGCTGCGGAGGTGGACAGCCGCTCGAGACCCCCCTCGAACCACCCCCTAACCTGGGGGAAGGACAGAAGATCATCGAGCGGAACCCGAGTCCAAGCCATCCAAGCCACCACGGACAAGATCCTGATGGACCTCAAAATGACGAAAGCCAATTGCTCTAACCCACTGTCCTCTGACCTTTTCTGACTCGGAGTTGTCTTTTCCCTACAAGCTCAACCTCGAAACCACGGCTCGGGTGGGCCAAAGCGGAAGTCCAGCCGCCCTAACTTTGGTTTGGGCTTTCCCGATGTGGGCTACGCCAAGCGAGAGACAGACAAAGAAACGCTGCCGCCACGAGCCGTGATTCGTGATTGTGGAGTGATAGCTATTGCTCGAGGGTTTGGGACCGAGCTGAACTTATGTCATGACTCCAACTCCTCCCCGCGGTTGCGGGTCTGCGGGTTCCAGGTCAAGCTCGACCCAAGTGGGCGGTACCCAAGCTATGGGAGCACTCTGGCTCGCACCCAGAGGTTCATATATCCACACTATCATGCCATTTGACTGAGGTCACGAGCATTGCAGTCAGTCAAACCTATGCTAGAGGTGCGATGATCCATTGGAGAGAGGCGCTGAGTCGAATCATGGGTCTAGGTCGCCAATGCTGATCTACCGCGCCGAGGTTGACTGATCTCACTTTAGACCGAGAAGAATCGTTCAGCCATTAATCTGCTGTGACTGAAGACTGCACAGGCAGAGTATACACATCAGAAAAGACTCTCCCTGTCCTGTTTCAACTGTTTCCACCCGCGCTATATACCTTCCATTCGACAGATGTCAGCGACCCCAACTCAACAAGGTTCAGATGCACCCCAAGAATCACGCAACTGCAACCGTTCCCACGGGCCAAGACATTCGGGAAAAGGGGCATGCTGCCTGCCCTGATGTGCGTGACCTCTTCGTTACCACCTTCCTGTCAGGTCCCGAGGAGATAACCAGCAATTTCCTGGCCATCGCGCACTTGGCGCGTCTATTGTGATCACGTCGAACATGAGTTTGAGATCTGCAGGCAGGTTTCAGCCTCGGTGTGTTCTGAACTCAAAACTCGTAGATACCTTGTTTTTGGCATGGGCCTCTCATCGGCGCAGTAAGAAGTGTGCGTCCGATCCCCCCCGAATCGGACTGGTGCAGTAACTCCTCCTTCGCGCAGAGAACCACTCGATTGTTGACTGCCAGAGCATAGACGTCTGAACCGCGGAAGACACTCACTTTTCCCCGGGACTCGGACTGTCAACTTGAGAACTCACCGAGCGTCGTAGGAGGATCCGTATCAAATGTACCAATCAGCCCTAGGACGTGCACCAATTCAGCCTTGATCATCGCAACTGAAGATTCCTGCAGACCCATGGGCCACCCACCACTTTTACACATTCATATAACTTCATACTACCCCCCCTCCAAAAGACAAAGGTCAACTCCTCTCTTTGCCTTTCCTACCTATTTCTGATGCCCCCCGTTTCAAGACAATACATTTATTTAATCTACGCACTCCCCCAACTCTTCAGAGCACCCACACGCAAAAGGTCACGCAGCGCCCTAGCCCCCTCAAACTGATGGTCCGTGATACCGCTCACGTTTCAACCTACACGCCAGATCACGGAAGGACCTTTCGGCCGGATAGTCCGGTATAATATAAAACTTGGAATGGTCGGCTTTGAGTAGAACCCAACCCACCCTCCATCAGACAAACCGATAACTACAGTAGATTCGTAGAGGGACCCCCCTTGCCCCATCCTCCCATCCCCTCCTCTCTCCCTCCGTAAAGTCTGATGGGACCCCGGATCGCGTCCGTGCGGTGATCCTTCGCACCGAGCCTGCGTGAGCCAAGGATCCATATTGGTTTCGACCATCCGCACAGAATGGGTTCTCGGTGGGAAGGGGGCCTGATTCATCGTAGAGGTACAGAAGTTGAAGGCTCATCTCAGTCACAATCACAATCACTTAGTAGTATGCTATTAGTGATGAGATGTGATAGCAGAAGGTTGATTAAGAGCGAAGCTTGAGTGCTGGGAATACTGCCCTTTTCATTGAGGAAAGACCTTTCTTGCTCCTTGGGATAGATCAAGTACCAGTTCCGTGATTTTGACCTCTTCTGTGCTACTCGGGCTCTCTTATATTATTTTGAAAGTACTCACACTTCTGTGCTTGGTGTTGATGCAGGACTGCAGTAGGATTGGAATTGGGAAACCGATGGCCTAACAACGGCCTGAGGTTTCGAAGGCCTCTGCGGGGAATGTGGTATGCCAAGTTCCCTCAGCCGAGCATGAGTAATCAGGGACTTTCACGAGAGAATAGCGGGTATAGACATGACGATGCGTATAGAGATGGTATATGAGAGTTGGATAGCGTTGCCACCTCAACGGCCTCCGATTGGTGAGAAATTACAGTCGAATCCAGACTCACAAGCTGACGAATCGAGGCTAATATGGCTCTCAAACTCTACGGATCGGCCATGTCAATCGCCCGCGTCCTAGTCACGCTCTGCCATTCGTTCATCCGTGTCGATATCGCCCAGGGGGAACACAAGACCACAGAATACAAGAAGATGCAACCGTTCGGCAAAGTGCCTGTGCTGGCAGACGGCGAGTTCCAGATTTTCGAGAGTCGCGCAATCTGCAAGTATCTCGCCCGGAGAGTCGTTCTTCTTGCCTAATTATCGTGTATGTAGTCTGATTCTCATTTGTCGGGATAGACGTATGATACACCTCTGGGGCGAGGTTGATTTCCACCCAAGGGGACTATGAAGCGTACGGGCGCTTCGAGCAGGCGTGCTCAATCGAGTCTTATCGGAGGGCTTATCGGCTACCGTCGGAGTTCCATTCACGTGACTGTCTGCATGTAAACAATGAGTCAGCCAGTCTGGAGATCGACTGGAAGTGACATGTAACACCTATCTTGAAATTCCTTTGTTTTTGCGTTCATCAAAGTAGAGAGGTGGAAGATAATGCTCACTACATACCTGCACTATTTGAAATAGAACATGTACAGGAAGGGCCGAAGGCAGTTCACCGACTGATAACGCACTTTCGACCCACAGTCACGCCAGCGGTGCGGGCAGTCTTATAACTATTCCCCGCCCTACACTCCCACCACAATCAAGGGGGTCGAATTCTCCACCATTTGTGAAACCGCATCATGACATCCAAGGGCAGTCACCTGCGCTATCCCGGCCCAGGAATCCACGAGCCAGCTCGTGCACCACGTCGCCGATTCCTGAGACGCTGGCGACGATCCATTGGAGGTGTTGCGTTGGTCGCAACTCTGCTGCTGGTCTCCGTCAGGTCCCCTGCAGATCTACTCACTCCGACCACCTCTGCAGCGACCAAACGAGAATTCTACGAAGGACTGCAGCAATGCCACGATGTGCATGATCGAGGCCTGCGAGAGCCTGTCGCATCAGCAAGCAGGGCCAATCCCCGCTGGAACCCCGTCGCAGGCCAAGAAGAAGCCATCGTCATCCAGAATGCGACGCTCTTCGACGGGGAATCCACCCTCGACGACCGGGTGGATATCATCTTCGACGCCGGAGTGATCCGCTCGGTGCTCCCGACTTGGCAACACACCCCTTTGCCAGCCAACGCCCAGGTCATCGACGTGCACGGCTCATTCGTCACCCCGGGCCTGGTAGACATGCACTCGCATCACTTGCTGCTCTCCTTCCCGCAGCTCCCGGCCACCAAGGACGTCAACGAGAGCCCGCTCCTGGGCCCGCTGACCTCCTTCGTGCGTGCCGTGGATGGGTTCAACCCGGACGACCCAGCCATCAAGATCATCGCTTCGGGGGGCGTGACCTCGTCGCTGATCCCCCCGGGATCGGCAAATGTTATCGGCGGCGAAGCCTATCTGGTCAAGAATCTTCTCCGACCCGGCCCAGACGGCGAGCCGGTCATCGAAGAGTTGCTCCTCGACCATGGTATTCCCGAGGCGCAGCGCCAGCGGTATCTCAAGATGGCGTGCGGGGAGAACCCCCGACGGTTCTACGGACACACCCGCCTCGGTCTCGCCTGGTTGCTGCGCGAAGAATTCAACAAAGCACGAGAGCTGCACTACCGCCAGACCGAATGGTGCCAGGCGGCTTTCCAGATCGAGGAGAGCAGGGTGGGGCAGAGTCAGCAGATTGCTAGTTTTATCGACCGACAGGGCAAGCGACCGGAAGAATTCAAGCTCGACACGCTGGTGGCGTTGCTGCGCGGAGAGCTCAATCTGAACGTGCACTGCTATACGCCCGACGATCTGGAGCGCATGCTTGCCGTGCTGCACGAGTTTGGAGTGCATCCTCGGGCGTTCCATCACGCATTGTCGGCGTGGCAGGTGCCGGAATTCCTCAAACATCTCGAAGAGTGCGTTGCATCACCTTGAGTCTTCATGTCACAGATTGAAGTGCTAACTGAAGTGGGCTCGCAGAAACATCACCATTGCCACGTTCGCCGACAACGGGCTGTACAAGGCCGAGGCCTACGAGTCGAATCTGCGAGGGCCCAAGATTCTGGACGAGCACGGTCTCCGCGTGGCCCTGAAATCGGTGAGTTCTGGTGTCTATCTCTCAGTAGCCATGGCTCATTAATCTGGGTGTCTAGGATCACACAGGAGAAGGCAATTACGCGAAGTACCTCCTGTGAGTGGCGCACAGGCATCTGCCCCAACCCTAAGTTCTCGCTGACATCTGCATAGCGACCAGGCAGCAATCGCCCACTCGTTCGGCCTATCCGAGGAAAAGGCCCTGCAATCAGTGACCTCGATCCCGGCTCGCTCCATCCAGCAAGACCACCGCATCGGCTACGCTCGCCCTGGCTACGACGCCGATCTCGTGGTCTGGGATGACCATCCGCTGCAAGTGGGCGCCACTCCAGTCGAGGTGTTCATCGACGGTCGCGCCGTGCTCGAATCGCCCACCTTACTATCAATCCAAGACAACGAGGTCGCGGCACAAGCCGCACCAGCCGTGCGATCCTCCGTCGCCACAGCCGAGCGGGACCGCGTATGCGCACCCGTGCGCGATCAAGCGTCCCACGCGAACATCCTCTTCACCGGCATCCAGCACGTCCTCCTCAACTCGACCACAAATCCCCACACAGAAGCAGCGCACGACAGAGTCCTCCTGCTCACAAACGGCCAGATCACCTGCCTCGATACCAAGTCAACCTGTCTCGCGCAGACCACCAGTGAATCCCTCACGCAGATCGATCTCCAGAACGGATACATCACGCCCGGCCTCGTCGCCTTCGGCAACAAGTTGGGCATCGAGGACATTGCCTCCGAGCCCTCCACCGGCGCCGGCAAGGACGTCAAGGGCGCGGCCGACCCGCTGAACGAGCAGAAGAGCGTGCATTTCGCCAAGTACGGCGTGCATCTGGGCGGCCGCGCCTTCGGCCGGGCGCAGATCGGCGGCGTGACCAAGGCCGTGACCCCGCCGCTGAGCGCGGGCATCATACAAGGGGTAAGTGTGGGGCTCCGGACCCACGAGCAGGCGACGATCCTGGACGGGGGGATCTGGAAGGACGACGTGGCGCTGCACTTCACGGTGGGCCAGTCGGCGAGAAGTGAGTTCCTACCTTCAACATTGTCCTTCTTGTCAAAAACGATAGTTAGCTTACCGTGTGCATCCCGGTAGACGACAACACCCCCACCGTCCTGTCGGGGATCGAACGGCTGCGGCAGGTGTTGGAGCAGGGAGGCAGCGACAGCTCGGGGGTTTACGCGCGAGCGGCGAACGGGTCTCTTCCGGTGGTTGTGCATGCTTTCCACCAGGTATGTTGCTCCCAGATATCCCCCCCCCCC